TCAGGAAATCGGCAGGAAAGTGCATCTCCACGTCTTGAAACACTGGAGTGTCGTCCGTCTTCTGCTGTTTATGAGGAGGAGACAACGACGCATGAACCAAAGCAGCTGTGTCGCCAACCTTCTGTGGCGACAAAGTACGAAGTTGCTCTGTCCCATCCACCGCCGACGGCAGTGACACCTCTTGAGGTGCCAACCTACGCTTCCTCCTCATCTTCGCGTCCTTCTCAGCCTGGGATGTGTTTCATTCTCGACGACCACCCTGCGTTGCAGACTCTGACGGACCTACATACATCGAATAAACACGTGAACAATGTATGACGACATCGACAATCGAAAACGACGAAATAACAAATGACTTACGTGTCGACATCGTTTCCTCGGAATCCTCGACTCTCTGAGGGGTGCTTGGTAATTCTTTGTGTTTTTTACCCGACGATTCACCAAGAGTGTGCCTCGTCCTCTCAAAAGTCCTTTTCGCGTGCCCTGCTTCGAGGATCTGCTTTATCTTCGACGACGATCTCTCCGTTGGCTCGAGAAAGTCGAGATTAAGATCTGCGCAATCAGAACCAAGATCAAATATTCAGAAAACTTTAGTTCTAAATATAAAACACAAAGATGAAATGCTTACCCTTTTCTGGCCACCCTTCAGTCAACCACACTTTGTCAGTACCTACCGACGTCTTCTTGACGAAAACAAAGTACTGAGCCCAACCCCTATCATTACAATCGGTGTTCAAAACCATCCCCCTTCTTATGTAAACTCACAAAACGATCCTTCTTTATCTTCATGTCATAAGCTTTAATCAAATCCTCCAAAGTAAAGGGATCTTCCCAATCTTTGGTAATTTCCTCCAAAACTGACAAAATCCTCCAACTAGACGACATTAATTGCCCAGGGCTTAACCCCAGCACCTCAAAGAAAGATTTGGTTAGACGCTTGAAAGGAAATACCGCCCCTGTCTCCAAGAATGGGTACCTAAAGAATACGACGAAGCCCTTAGGACAATCCTCCACCTTCTGGCCCTAGCCTGAAACATGGGCGAAAGCGGTCTCAGGAAACCCCCACCATTTTTACAAAGCCCTCCATCATGTCTGCCGTCATCAGCGACTCCGCCTTAGTCATCGTTTTCTTTTCTGAAACAATCGTTCCTCTCTTCTCAACAACGCGAAGTGAAAACCTACACCTAGCTTTGGGAATTCTACTTGACATTCGCTGAAATTAACCAAGTAAACAAAGGATTTGAGTAATTACCTGTTGATTGAAGTAATTGAGAGCTTGAATTGAAGAATCGCCGCCCTCTGTCGCTTTGAATTCCCCCGGAAATTTCCTGCGGTAGAGAAGGAAGAAGAGAGAGAAAGAGGAGAGGGAAGAAAGCAGTAATTGTGGGAAACGGCAAGTGTATAGCAATAATAAAGACATGAAATGATGGTTAATTGGGTAATGGGAAGTTGAGGTAACTTCTTGAACTAGTGCGCCAGGCAGAAAGACGATTATGCCCCCTAGTAATTGGTTTTTAAATTTTCTTTTTTAATTTTTGTTTTTCTTTTTGAAGCTACTTTATTTTTTGTTGTTTTAATTGCTAAACATGTACATAACTGCCCATATTAAGCAATTAGGGGCAAATTGTTGTGGGTAAATTTTAACAAGTCAAAGTCAGCGCAAGTCAGCGCAAGTCAGCAAGGGTCAACGACGAAGAGTGAAGATCGACGACTAAGCCCAGTCTTGACGGACGAAGCGAAGATAACAACTAACCTATTTTTTAGGAAGTGATAAGCCTGAAGTTACCGTTACTAACCAGCAGAATAAAACCGTTACTAGGCCAAGCCAAGTGCCATGAGTCAAAGGGTTAGTTACCGCAAAATAAGGAGCTGCTGTTATCAATTTGCAAAGGGTTACAATAAACCCTAGGCATCATCTATATAAGGGGGAGGTTCCATCGACATTGGACACATTGCAATTAAGCCACTAAAATCGCATTGATCATACATTGTAATCCTTTTCGTTCGATATTTTACATAGTGAAAGTTTGGTAGATCCTTATTCTACCCGCGGTTTTTACCTCCTTTGGGTTTTTCGCATCACCAATTCCTTGTGTCATTTCTTTATTTCGTTATCATTTTCATTTAAGGTTTTTATTTAGTTGATTCGTAACCTAGATTTTGCTATTCAATCCCACTTGACGAAATTTAGCATAAACAACAGGTAAGTATTTCACATTCAGAAAAAAAAAAAGAGAGAGAGAGAGAATAAAACCCTTTATAAGGCTAAGGGTTACTTATTCTATTGCTATATGATTTTTAGTGGAACCTCCGTAGACTTATAAAGTGGAAACTCACAGTGGGTGCGGCTCAAACCCGTATATCATGAATCCCTATTAACAGTTACCTCCAACCATCACGATTTTTTTGTTCCGATATATGCGGGTTAGACACTTTAAGAGTTGTTGGACTCGAGGGGAGGGGAGGGTGAGGGGATCCCTATCCTCAAAATGTCACTGGTGGAGATTGAACCCCTAAGTCCCTAACCCAAGATTGAAATACGAAATCTTTCCCATTAATTGCTCAACGAAAAGGTATATGAACATAAATACTCCGTATTTGTCAAACGTTTGTACAATCTAAAACCATGCATGCTATTTAGCGTATAATTAAAAGAACATATAAAAATTATGCTTCAGCAAGTTGAAATAACAAATACTTCGTAATAAAAAAAATAATCTTTTATTGCAAACAACTTTATTCTTGTTTTTGTATTTTTTGTTTTTTTCGAGTTTTCAATAGTATCCATTTACAAAATATGTAAACAATTTTGCTTCAACTAGCCGTAGACTTTTATAAAGGAGCTTTTTGCCTTACCTTCCATTTCTGCATTAACTAAAAATATCAAAGAGCTCGATTCAATCGCGGGTATGAGATGACTAAAAGTAGCAATATCAAGGGGAAGGGGCCGACCGATGAAACCGGGCCAGTGGCGGACTCAGGAATTTCCGACTGGTGAGTCACAATCGATAACCAAATATATAAAAAAAATTTTGACAACATGACAAGCTTAGCTCTCTAATAATTGACAAGATTAAAATCTGTACAAGCATTAGGGTGTATTGACAATTTAACAAACATAATTGACTATATCATTAGGGTGGGTCGACCATATTATAAGCAATCGTCCGAATCGCCAATCAAATCAGCACATATGCAAAACCCCATATAAATCTACCAAAGCCAATGGTGTATTGACAATTTGACAGACATAATTGACATGAATAAACACCCTAAATAAACACTGACTACAATTCACATGGTCAAAAAGGTTCAAATTTCATCAAAAACCCAACAACATTAACAAACGGTTCAAAGTTTTCCAAACAAACAACAACAAAATCAACCAAAGGCCAGGTTGAACCGTTTGTTAATGTTGTTGGGTTTTTGATTTGACTCACCATGCACAAGGCCAGGTTCGCCAATGAACCGGGCTACCTACATTTGATCTACACGACCACACCACAATTGTATATTGATCAATGTCATTTAGCTCGACTCTCCGGATGCCTTCGTTTCCTTAAGAATGGCTATAAGGCAATCAGAAGTCGTTCATTATTGTTACCTCCACTCCTCCCTTGTTCCTCGTTTCTCATTTTTCCCTATCTTCATTTTTTCCCTTCTAATTCTTTTGTTAGCTGTGTAATAAGGGGAAAATAGAGGGGAGAAAAAAAAAATGTTTTAGCTGTGTTTTGTTCATTATTTGTTATGAAAGATGAATAATAACTGACTCCAAATAGGATACATCTAAAATTTCTTCTGCCAATATATATCTATATAAATATATATTAAAAAGTGTTTCGAAACAAGTTCACATGCACCACTATCTCAACCTATTTTGTTGGTTATCATTCCATAATATCGGACATTATAAAAAAAGAAACAGTACTTGTATAAGAATTGAAGCCTTAGTCTTAAGGCTTGAGATTAGAAGGTCAACCATTGAACTAATACCATAGTTCTTGTCTTTTATTAAAATAATAAATGACATGTAATAAATCAATAGGAGTAGAATTGAATCATGAACTTTATATGCAATTATTGTTATACATGTAATAACTCCGAACATCACTTGAGCCTAACAAGTAGTTGAATAAGGATTGACTGATTAAGTGTTGAATCGACCACGTTTTCTTCATCTTGATTAACTCAATAACACATAAAAAGAGTTACGGGTACTAATCCAGTTGAAAACTGATTGAAATTTAATACCAAAAAATCCATTAGTCCACGATCAAATACTCCTTATAGTTATAATATGGTAAAACCAGTTTAGTTCAGCAAGTTCCTAGTGCCCCCCCCCCCCCCCCCAAAGAAGCAAAATCTTCAATGACACTGAAATCACAATGGGTAGTTATTCTGCAGAAAGCTGAAACACACCCAAGGAAATTCAATCAACACATCGCAAGTGAATGGATTAAAACTAACTACGAGTAGATCCTTGTGCGCAATAATTTCATTGTATATTACGGAATTAACCTACTTGTAAAATAGTAAAATTATACCCTTAGCAAAGTTGACACGACTGGTGTTATTGACCTTAAATGCCCTGTTCTTGAACCTAGTACCTGCCATGGTTGTATCATGGCTTAGTAAGTAAGATATAGCTAAACTTGAGCCCTGGCTCCAATAATTAATATCCAAAGGCTAATAAGAAAACAAATGCAACTCACTGACAGATAGCAAGTAAACACACGCAGGATATATACAATAGATCAATCCACATTTGCTTCTATGAGCAACATTCAAGTAAAAGCAAGCCCAAAACGAAGTAAATACAAATGTTACAAATCACAGATAATAAGGTTTTTTCCAACAATCATCAATCAAGTTGAACATTAAATATATGACTTACCAATTTGCAATTTTCACTCACGATGTCTATTTTTACATCTCTTTCACAGCTGATCATCTATGCTTAACTCAACGCTCCTTCCACCTCCGCTTTAACCATCGCTCACTCAGTTCTCAAAAAACTTTTTCAGCAAATCCTTGTCTGCATCACCAATATTAGGATCAGTGAGTAAGCTCACCAATGATGATATAGTGTGATTATCAGCAGCAAACTCTTTGTTTCTCATTAAGCTGACAAGCTCTAAACCTCTCTTAGCATCCTTTCCATCTATAAATCCTCTAATAATTGTATTGAAGATGCATTCATTTGGAAAGCATTTATTGTCCTCCATATTCTTCAATAATTCATCGGCTTTTGCTAGCAACCCTTCTTTACAAAACCCTTTTATCATTATGGTGTAAGCACGCACATCATGCAGCCCTTTAGCTGTGAGAAAGGAGAAGATGTCCATCGCTTCTCTAAGGCGATTAGCTTCACAGAAACCATCCATTAGGATACTGTATGTAATAATATTAGGGACCATTCCAGTGCTCTCCATTTCCTTCACTGTTGCAACTGCCTTATCTATTTGTGCATTCCTACACATGCCGTCAAGGAATGAATTCCAAGTTATTACATTTGGCTTTAGTCCATGAGCTTCCATTTCCTTGAAAAACTGGTGTGCAAGCTTGAGCTGATTGTCTTTGCACAAAGCATCTATAAGAGTGTTGTACGTAATAAAATGCATCTCTTGGAGCAGACCAAGAGCTTTGTCAATCTTTTTAGCCTTGCAATAGCCATTGATTAAGCTGTTGTAAGTAACTACATCAGGTTTGCAACCATTTTCAACCATCAAATCCATAAGCTTTTCTGCCTCATCCATCTCACCACGTAAACAATATCCATCTAATAGAGCACTGTAAGTGATGATATTCGGAACAAATCCTCTCTCAGTCATGTGAACAAAAATGTCCCGTGCTTCACCAACCTTGCCATCTTTACAATACATATCAATCAACATGTTGTAGGTCTCAATGCTAAGAGTTATGTTGTTCCTAAACATCTCAGTGAGCATTTCTCGAGCCTCCTTCAGTTGTCCCAAAGTGCACATACCTCGAATTAAGGTAGTATAGGTGACAACATTAGGGGAGATTCCCTTGACTTTCAACTCCTTGAAAAGGCGGAGAGCCTGAGGTAATAACTGGTCTTTACAGAGACTATCAATGATGGTGCTATAAATGACAACATTAGGCATAAAATGGCCATAAGACTCCATATTTCTAAGGAGTTTGAGAGCACCGGCATTATCCCCGGACCTACAGAGACCTTTGAACATGGAGGGACTAACTATAATCCGCAATTTCACGAATTTGCAAGACAAATCTTCCAAAGTTGTATCCCTGCACACATGAAAAACAAACAAAAAACAATACTAAACATCCCACCATTAGGAAACTGACTAAACCTTACATGGAGGGACCAACTATAATCACCATACTGTTGGTGATCTTTATTGGCTAAAAACATGAAATTAAAGAAGAATTTGGGGCTTACCATTGATAAAAATTGATGGTAGTCCCTAAATTTTACTATGGTGGCTAGGTTTGAAGATAGAGAACAGAGAAAATTTTAGGGTTTTACAATATTTATTTTTTGTTAAGTATTAATTTTATGTTAAAAAAAATAAATAAAAAATAATAATAATAATAATAATAATTGGGCAAACATTATTTTTTGAACAACATTGGGCAAACATTATACTTATGTATTGAATTTGTCCTGCAAAATCCATGTCCATTAAGAGTCATGTCCAATAAATACGGAGTATCTTTTAACCTTGAACGAAACCATATACCTATTAGGCTATCTTGTCTAATAACCATAATGGAGTCTTAAGATTGCATCTATTTTCCCATCAAAAAAACAAAAAAAAATTGCATTTATTTTACAGCATATCTGAAGATTATATTCTATATACTCTGTACTATGTATATTACTCGCATATAGCGTTTGATAAATGTGAATAGGAGTTTGAGGACAAGATGGTTGAAATTGGGTCAAGATTTATGATTGAAAATTCAATTAAAAATTGATAATCCCTTACTTGGTTTGTGATGGAAATTAACTAAGAATAGATGTCAAAGAAAAAATAGCACTCTTACGGTATGTTCTCTTCACCTGATTAGACCTGAACTTATTAAACTTATTAATACTTATCTGAATTTATTAAATCTGATTGTAACTTGTTAGAAATGATTGAACATGATGGAACTTATTAGATCTGCTTGATGGAAAAGAGATATCAAAATATAGCACCCTTACTAATATTGTATCCTTAATATTAATGACAAATTAGCCTTTTCTATTTATTTTAATTTTCATCTCTATTAATACCAATTAGGTAATACAACCATGGAAATAGATCATTTTATTCTCAATCCCATCTATAATTTCCCCTTTCCACAAATTAAACATCTCATCCCTTCAATTCCCAACTCCAAGCCTCACTTCTCATACTATCTCCTTCCTAAAAGTTCGACTCACTTACTATTCATCTGGTCAAAATAAAAAAACTTTGACCACATATTATGATTTATACTATCTCTGTTCCACAAATATTGCAACAAAGATGAAATTACGCATCCCAAAGCACATTTTATATGTTAAATATCCATAATTATGTAAGAGTAAAATTATAAAAAGTGATATTATGAAAGTATTTTACAAGACGAATCTAACAACACCCCACAAGACTATATTTACTTTACGTATATGTGGTCAAACAAGCGTAATAAATAGTGCAAAAGTTCAGTTGTTGCAATATTACTAGAACGGAGGAAGTAAAATAGAAATAAATTAGTATGAGGGGTCTTATTAGATTCCCCTTATTATAAAATTTTGAACTATCAACTTCTTATAATTTTCACTTATACATAGCCGTAAATATCTATGGTCAAAGATGTTCATTGGAGACCGCGCAAATGCAAAGTGAGTCGAACTTTCAGGAACGAAGGGAGTACATCAAACTCCCCCGCAATATTTAAGCCTTTTGAAATTTGCGCTATTTACCCCGCTATTTGTTGGTGGGTTATTACGACATAAAGCTCTATATTTTTTTTAAAATCATTTATCTTATTTATTTAAAATTAAAAAAAATAATAATAAGAAAAATTTGTTACAAAGGACCTTTTAGAAAGGACCATTTAAAAAAAAGGAGGGATCAAAAATGGATTTTTTTTTTTTTTTTTTTTTTTGTGAGAAGGGACCTGTGCTCGGAAACCACCTTAATTAGCCCCACCCCTTTCACAGCAGCCACCTCTTTCCTCCAACCCCATTGCCTCCCTCTTCCCCCTCTCCTTTCACGACAACCTTACCAGCCCCAGCCACCCTTCTCCCCTTCCATTGCCGGCACTGACCCCGACACCCCAGCCCCCACCCCTTTCACGCCAGCCCACTCCTCCCCTTTCCCCACCCCCACTCCCTTTCCTCCACCCTGATTAATGTAAAAATCTTCAAGCGATTTCCTCCACCCTAACCTTAGATTTTAGGGATGAGAGAATCGAGCAAAGAGAGGAGATGAAATCAAATTTCTGAATGACTTAATGAGTTTAGGGTATGGAACTGGATAAATTTGTGAAGAAATTGGGTTCGATCGAGTAAATTCAGAAATTTCAGAAGCAAATTGGATGTGTGCAAAATTTGCAAAAACGAAGATCGATCTTTGCGCAAAAGTAGAGAAATGAGAGGAGGAAAGAGAGGGAAAGAAGGTGGGGAAAGTGGGGAGAGTCGCCAGCTTGGGGAAGCTTGGGAGCCGAAGTCGGCGCCGACAGCGGAGGGGAAAGGGGGTGGTGGTGCTGTAGGGAAGGCTACCTTGAAAAGGGGAGGGGGTTTCGGGGAAGAGGAAGGGATGGCTGCCAAGAAAGGAGTTGGGCTAGGGTGGTCAGCGCTGGAGTTTTCGGGAAGAGGAAGGGATGGCTGCCAGGTGATAACTTGCTATTTTATGCGGTTTTAGGGCGTGTTTGAACCTAGTTTACCTGAACAAATTTGTGTTTTGGTTCACTTTTACCCTATTATTATGCAATTTTTGTGTATCCTATGCTTCACGGGTTGTTAGTGTTTTTGTTGAGATTTTAGGTCCAAAGACGACCAAATGAAGCCCATGGTTACCAAACCGAGGTTAGAAGCAAGGAAATGATGGAAAGAATCCAAGTACAAGAGCATCGTAGAAGAAAACACGAAGAAAAGGGCCCAGAAGACCCTGCACGGCCGTGCAGGAGTGCAGACCTGAAGCCATCTTTCTGCCAAGGCCTGCACGGACGTGCCAAATATTGCACGTCCGTGCAGATGATGCAGCACGGACGTGCTTCCGTGATTATGAGGCAGCACGGACGTGCCAAATATTGCACGTCCGTGCAGATGATGCAGCACGGACGTGCCAAAGGTGCACGCCCGTGCTGCAGCAGGTCGTCTTAAACTGAGTTTCTGCCTTGGTCTGCACGGACGTGCCAACTTCAGCACGTCCGTGCAGACCTACAGTTTACCCGTTTCTTGTTTTCACCGTCCTCTTATTTTAGGGGGTAATATAAATAGCCCCTTTGGACCATTTTAGGGGGGTTCCCAATTTTTTCAGATTTTCATACTCCTCTTAGTTTGAAACACAAAAATCCTCAAATTAGCATAGATTTTAGTTCTTGTTTTGAAGGTTTTCAATCCAATCATTGTAGAAGACAAGTTCCACCATTGTTAGTCAATTATTGAAGCTTCTAGTAATTTTTCTTACTCTTTCTTTCTCTCTTCTATCTTTAATTCTTGCTTTTTATTAATTGTTTGGTTGTTCTTTGCATGTTTAATTGTTAGATTCTACTTAATTCTTAGTTTTAATTTGTTCATGAATTCCTTGAAATCTTTAATTGCTTTAACTTCCATGGATTGTGAGTAGTCTAATTTCTAGGGTTTGGGTGAACCCTCAATGTAATCACCAACACTTGTTGCATGTACTAATTTGTTAATTGTGGGGTGTTAATTAGTTGAGTTTAAGAGGTTTCATTGTTAATTCTTGTAATTGGCCATTGCTTGAATTATTTATCTAGCTTCCTCAACGAAGGATCGAGAGATGAACTTGAGGAAGCTCCCTTATGCTTGATTGACTTGATTTGCCATGAGAATAGGAATTTCTAGTCAAGGGAATTACCATGTTATCGTGAGGATGTTTTAACACTTGTTTCTTGCCCATAATCACGAGAGTAGGTTATGGTTTTGATGTCAAGTAATCCCTCTAGCTTGAGAGAGTAGTTGGGTGCATTGGATAACTTCCCCTAATTTATCCCCTAAATCACCATTTCTATGCATGCTACTTGTGGTCCGTGATGAAGTTGAGTGGTGTAACCCATGCCCTAGGCCTTCTTAATATTGTTAATCACCTCTTAGAATTAGTTGATTTGAATTAGAATAGTGTGACGTAATACCAACTTAAAACCCCCGACTTAATCTAGCTTGTTTAAACAGTTACATTTGGTGGTTGATTCAACGCCTCTCATGGGTTCGACCCTTTCTTGCCCTTGCTACTAGTTGAGTAGGATCGAGTTAGGTCTTATTTCTTGATAGGTTGACGACGTCCTATCACCAGGTTGGTGGGTCAAATCCCACTTTCCGGGTAAAGGTCCCTCCTCACAAAAAAAAAACAAAAAAACTCATTTTTGGTCCCTCATTGCCACCTTTTTTTTTATAAGGTCGTCCTTCAAAATAGTGGACATATAAGGTTCTTTGTGACAAATTTTCAAAAAAATAATCCTTTATCTTGTTTTTTTTAAAGCATAAAAACAAGGAGAAAATGTTTTTGAAGAATTTTTTTTGTTGCGAACTCGACACATGTATTGTAGCATATAATTATGATGATTATTTTAGCATATAACTAGTTTTTGCCCACGTGTAATGCACGAATTCATAATAATTTTGATTTTTAAATAATGATTGTCAATTAAAATGAAGTTACTTTAAATGAAATGACTTATATAACATCTTTTATTTTTTGAAATTTTAATTTATTTAATGTCTACCCTTAAAACTTTTGTGTTAGGTATATAATTTGTTTTTATTACAATAATTTCATATTTTGAATTTTAATGTTTACCCTTAAAACTCTTGTGTTAGGTATATAATTTGTTTTATTAAAATAATTTCATATTTTGAATTTTAATGTTTACCCTTAAAACTCTCGTGTTAGATATATAATACATTTTTTTTTTATTAAAATAATTTCATATTTTGAATTTTTTAAAAAATACCATATGTAGCATTTTAGAGGGAAATTTTTTTATAAAATTATGCTAAGTATCCTACTCAGCAATTACTTTAATATATAGTATAGACGCTTTTTAATAATTCAAATTAAAGAGTCGCCAAATCAATAATTTTTTTTTCCTTGTGTGCGTCAAATCCCAAAAGTTAGGCCTGATTTTTTATTTATTTTTTTTTTTTATTTTTTATTTTTTTGTATAAAATCCCCCATCCTAAACTTCTTCCTCAATTTCTCAGTTCAAGCTATTTGTTTGTGGTGATGGATACTTTTTGAGGTGATAACACGTGTATTTTAAGGATATTTTTGAGAATTACTATTTCCTCTGTTTTTTTTTTTTTTTAATTATTGCACCACTTGTCTTTTATGGAAGTTTCACAAATATTGCACCATATCCATTTAAGGAAACAAAATATCTCTGTTCACACTGTAAATACCTAATATATCCTTACTTTTAACACATGATTCTTTAGTTTATTTTTACATCATATGGTTAATTTTGTACTTCTATCCCTCTCTCTCTCTCTCTTCCTTTTTTCCACAATCAAAAAAATTGTGCCCAACATATAAGGTGCGATAAAAAAAATGGTGGACGTATAATATATTAGTATAGATATAGATAGATTTGTTGGTTAAATTTAACAAATTAGTGAATTAAATCAAACCATTATACCACCCAACCGAAATACTTTATACTCGAATTAGGCCCTGTTCACTTCACCTTATTGTTGTACAGAAACTATTTTTACTAAATTGAAATTATTTTTGCTGAACTTAAATTATTTCTACTGAACTGAAATTAATTTTACTGAACTGAAATTATTTTTGCTGAAGTGAAATTATTTTTACTGATTTTCTATTATATTTCTTCTTTAAAGTTACTGATTTTTCCTGAACTTAAATTATTTTTATTGAACTGAAAATATTTTTATTAAACTGAACTTATTTTTACTGAACTGAAATTACTTTTACTGAATTGAAATTATTTTTGCTGAATATTATTTTTTTAAGGTGAAGGAAACAGGGCCTTAGTGGGTACCAAAAAAATAAAAATGATAGATACGATTTCGGGTTAAGAAAAAGTGCAATGAAAATTAAAAATAACCATTTACCCAAAATAAATTCTTAACGGGTAACCAAACTCAAATTTGCAGGCATTTTATCATTCTATTCCTTAATGACCCTGTGATGTACGGTTAAGTATTGTTTTGTTGGGGAATAGTTTTGCATAAGTTTGGTGATGTGATTCTAAGATTATATATAACCTACTAAGGGATGAAGTGTGAATGAGTGTATTCTATTTTTTGGTGACCGGCATGGTCATTATTTACACAATTTTTATATGTGGTTGACCACATCGTGTGGCCAGTCATTATCGGAGTTACTTCATTAATGTTATAGGGGTTACTTGGTCAGTATTACATGGGTTATTTCGTCATTATGTCATTATTATAAGGGTTACTCAGACAATATTATAGAATTACTCGGTCAGTATTACACGGGTTACTTAGTCAGTATTATAGAGGTTACTTTGTTTTTTTACAAGCGGCTACATGATGTGACCAGCCGCGCACAAGACACGTCGATTTATTTATTGAGTGTATTTTCTAATTATTGGATTTAGATACAAATTTGATTTGTAGTTGAATGATTATGAATATTTAATAAGGACCTAAAAGGTTCTTATTTGTAACAAGATATATGGCTTTGATTTTATTTGGTTTAAAGTACTTGTATTTTTTTTTTTTATATTATAATCTGCGACTAAATTTTGAAAAGTCTTTACGTTTTTAACGCATCTAAAACCTGTGACAGATAATTCTCGCTCCCTTGTTTTAATGCAATTAATTAGCTCTGGAAAATTGTGTTACACTTTGTAACTTACTCTACTATTACTCTACTAATTGGAAAAAAAAAATCTGTTTATTTTTGTACTTTACTCGCCATCATGATTGCATTACTTGCATGTTCTAACACTCGGGTTGAGGCCTATTATATGTTTATATAACATACTAGCTCTTTTTCGATTTCGTCCGTTTCCAAAAGCTCTTAACACTTTGGGTCATACATCTTTCAGCTGAACTCAAGGCCCTCTGAAGTCTGATTCACAATTCAGTAGAGGGTGGCCTAACTAATGAGTGATAATGTGCCTGGCACTTCTGCTTAACCTCTTATCTAGAGTCATACTTATAGTGAACCCTTTTCGGTAAATTAGATCTAGAGCACTTCTAAAAATAGGCAGAAATTTAATTTTTGACAAAGGTTTTCAGTACTGCCTTAGTAAGCTAGTACTCTTTAGTAAGTGATCCTTCGAACAAAGGAGAGATTATGGCCCTGAGCCATGCATATATTCTGCAGCTCCTGGTACCATCTCAAGCTTTAGATCACCCCCCCCCCCCCCAAAGCAACTAGATTCCAGCAACCACATACAAAGAAATTTAATTTAAAAAAAACAAAAAGAATCGTTAATTGCAATGACAATGTAAAACTTAATCCATAAACTTAAAAAAAAAAACAAAAAGGGATATAATGTAAAACTAAAGATGGACTTGGTGTTGTAATCTGCAATGACAATAAAGAATCGTTAATTGCAGTTGCTAGATTATCATGCTACAAATCCAGCTATGGCTCCTCAATTTGTGCTACAAATAGCAAGGAGATATCGTATATAACAATGCAAGTCTAGAGAAATGCTAGAATGATCCAAGCAACCAAAAGAATGAAAAGTCATAATATGAGTATATGACTACCTTGCTACATTTAGTTCCAACTTCTGAGACCAATTAACATCATCCATAATCAACAGCTTATGATAAACTGAAAACCATTCAGCTAATGTGCAAAAGCCTAGAAATAGAGTATCTTGATATTCACTTGATAATGCAAAGAACTGCTCTATAATTTAGCAAGTTCAGTCTTTGAATGATCTACAAATCTCTTAGGACAGAGTTAGCTAGGCATATCAACCAGGTCAAAAAAGTAGATTTGTATCATAAGACTTCACATTAGCTAAAAATCAATCACAGGCTGATTATTACAAGACTGAATAAAAGGTAATTTAAGCACACCATCTCATACAACTCTATTCAATCAATTGATTACTCACCATGATCAGGAGCTCGGGAAACTGCATCTCTTGTGCGAATTACTAATATCAGGAATTATAGCCTCAACACTTCTAGTTTCACCCTTAGTATGGAAGAAAGCATAACCACGGAAACCGAGGGTTGGCGGGAGGGGGGGGGGAGGGAAATGTGACTAGAAGAGACATGCCAAATGGGACTTCAAAAAGTATTAAAAGCTTGATGCAAAGATTACTTGAAAAAAAAAATGATACATGATATTGGTAAGCCTCCAAATGCAATACTCCACTAATATTACAGATAACCATAATCATAAGTCAAATTTCAACCTCAGCACTACACAATGCAAGTAATATTGTAACATCGTCATATCATATAAAACTATAGATAACCAGAGAAGCAGGATCTAAACATATTAAAATTATCAAAAGCCAAATACCTTACAATTCATATGTCAAAATACTTTCGAAGCAAAGCCTTGTCTGAATCGCTAACAGCATGGTCAGTTATGAAGCTAAGAAATAGAGAGGCCGTATGAGCATCCGCAGCAAACCCTTTAATTCTCATGGTACTGACTTGTTCCAATGCCTTGCTGACATCCTTGCCATAAAGATATCCTTTAATAATAGTGTTGTAGGTACACTCATCAGGTGAACACCTGTTGTCCTCCATTTCATTTACAAGTTTAGTAGCTTCATCAAGCAAACCCTCTTTGCAATATCCTTTTACAATAATATTATAACTGAATACATTGGGCTGTAAGCACTTCGCGGGCAGAGAAGTGAAAATATCCACCGCTTCTCTAAGGCGATTAGCATCACAAAAACCATCCATTAGGATACTGTATGTAATAATATTAGGGACCATTCCAGTACTCTCCATTTTCTTCATTGTTGTAATTGCCTCGTCAATTTGTCCATTCTTACACATGCCATCAAGCAATGAATTCCAAGTGATTATATTTGGCCTTAGTCCATGAGCTTCCATTTCCTTGATAAACTGGTGTGCAAACTTGAGCTGATTGACTTTGCACAAGGCATCTATAAGAGTGCTGTACGTGATAACATTAGGGGCTAATCCATTACAATGCATCTCTTGGAGCAGACCAAGAGCTCTGTTAATTCTTTTAGACTTGCAATAGCCATTGATTAAGCTGTTGCAAGTAATTACATCAGGTTTGCAACCATTTTCAACCATCAAATCCATAAGCTTTTCTGCCTCATCCATCTCACCACGTAAACAATATCCATCTAACAGAGCACTGTAAGTGATGATATTGGGAACAAATTCTCTCTCAGTCATGTGAATAAAAATGTCCCGTGCTTCACCAACCTTGCCATCTTTACAATACATATCAATCAACATGTTGTAGGTCTGAATGTCAGGAGTTATGTTGTTCCTTAACATCTCAGTCAGCATTTGTTGAGCCTCTTTCTGTTGTCCCAAAGTGCACATACCTCGAATTAAGGTAGTATAGGTGACAACATCAGGGGAAATTCCCTTGATTTTCATCTCCTTGAAAAGGAGGAGAGCCTGAGGTAATAACTGGTCTTTACAGAGACTATCAATGATGGTGCTATAAATGACAACATTAGGCATAAAATGGCCATAAGACTCCATATTTATAAGGAGTTTGAGAGCACCGGCATTATCACCGGACCTACAGAGACCTTTGAACATAGAACCATAAGTGACTAATGTGGGTTGGAGGCCAAGCTTGAGAATTTTATCCAACAAATGAACAGCTTTGTCCAACTGATTAGAGCGAATGAAGCCATTGATGAGAGTAGTAAAGGTGACAATATTAGGTTGAAAACCAAGTTTAATAATGTTGGCGAGAACAGAAAACCCGAAATCAACAAAGTTCAAACGACAGTAGCAATTAGCAAGGATGGTAAGGGAGTAATCATTTGGACGAAGACCTAAGAAAAGGAGCTGCCTATAAAGAGAAATGACAGTAGAGAAAGGGGGGTGGGGTTTAATCTTACACATGGATGAAAAAAGCATATTGAAATCGATAATACCAGGAAGTGGGCGAATCAATTTCATATGATCGAAAAGAGAAAGGGGGATTTAAACATCAGAAAACCCTAATTTGGATTGTTGTCTAACAAATTTCAGAAACAATTTGGGGTCATCCAAATCAAGTTGAACAGAATGAGAAGCGTCATATCGGGAAGAAAATAGAATAGATAGAAAGTAAAAAGGGGGTGAATTCAAAAGAGAGGAACTGAAATTGAAATTGAAAATGAAAAGAGGAGAGAGATGAAGAAGCTTACGTGAAGAAGATCCACCATTAGAATGGAAAAGAGGAGAAAGATGAAGATAACTTCTGAGCAAAATACCAGATTTGCTCCTCATGATGCCAAATCAACAGCCAAGGAGGAAGATCGCTGCTACTGCATACTGTGCTTGAACTATGAAGAGCATATAATTCTGGTGCTGGCAAGGTTGCCATCTTTATCTTGGGACTTTTGTTTTTTTTTTGATAAACTTTTATTTTGGGACATTGGTATAATGGTATTGTGTGAAAATATGAAATGAGTCAAATGACATGACTCATCACTTCTTTTTAAAAATTATAAATATTTTTAAATTTATACAGTAATAAAAGTAATAGGAATATCTCCATTAATAAAAACATAATCACTTGAGATCTTATTTGACTCATGTTAATAAATCAAATATTTATATGTTATAAATGTGTGCGTTTACAAACTTTATATATAAAAAAAAAAAAACTTTTTGGGATTAAGGTTTTGGTGGTGGTGTAAATGTTATATATTTTGTACTTTCCTAGGCATCATACAAATATACTCACAATTCTACCATTACACAGTATAAGAAGCTGCACATAACTAATTGTTATTAAAAATACCAAAAACAGTAATGCATATACTAGTAAACGCATTCAAAAGTGTATGAACAAACTAAACAAAGTACTTCTTCTATTGACAAGTAACTAGAATAGCAACGACTAGGGCTCATAATCTAGCAATTTGTCACGTGCTGACTAATCCCCCTAGTCTTCTGCACGCTAGCCTACTAACTTCCCTCCCTCGGATGCTAGTCAAGGCTTAACCCCGAAATGTTTCAAGCAAGAGTGTGCAACGAAAGTTAAGGAATGTTGAGAACACAAGAGGATATAAATATTTTGAATGCTTTGATAGCTTGAGAGAGAGTGTTTACAAGTATTTTTCTGAGGTGCCTCCAAATGAAGGCCAAGTCCCCTATTTATAGTGTTCTAAGCATGGCCTAGAACCTTCACTAACCTCCTCAAATGGAGGGTTCTAGATCTAATCCTTTCTAGAGTATTCTATATATTTCTTTAGTACATTCCCTCTATGTACAAGACTCTAGAATTATCTACACAACTCTAGAATTTACAGATGATTCAAGGATGTCCTAGGAGGTTCTAGAAGCTTCCGGATGCATCTCGAGTCTCCTTGAGTATTCTGGAACCTTCCGGACTTCTCCTTCAAAATCTAACACCACCATGGCGTTCATTGGGCCTAAATATGGTGGTCCCCCAAATTTGGGCTCAATCGGACTTCATTTGGGTCCCCAAATAGCCCATTATTGTGTTACTGTCACTTGGGTGTTTACTAGGGTGACAGCACTGGAGCAATATAAAGCTCTATAGGGGGAGGGTGTCTCTGGCCTAGCCAGTGCGCACCAAGGGCATTCCCCCTGGCCACGATTGTTGCCTCCCGTCCAATGGCCCTAGTGAGGGGTGGAATGTGTGGGTCGTGACATGCTCCCCCACCTAAGTCTTGACGCCCTCGTCAAGATCCCGACTCGAACGCCTCGATCTTGTCCGCAAATTGCCACAAATCTTCTTCTTTTTCCCACGAGCCCTCGCTGTCCGGGAGACCCTTCCAACGAACAAAGTATTCATTGTAGCTTGGCACACCTCGACGCCTTATGACTCTCTTTGCCTCGATGCTCTCGATGTCCCTTTCAAACGATGCTACCACGGCCGTAGGTGCCCGTTGTGATTTTCCCCTGGTCTGATCCTCTAGATCGGCATGGTAAGGCTTCAACATGCTAACATGGAACACCGGATGTATTTTCAGCTTGGGAGGTAGCTCAAGCTTATAGGAAACTTTCCCGACCCTCCTTATGATCGGGAATGGCCCTTCATACTTCCGCACTAGCCCCTTATGCACCTTGCGGAAGACTTTGAATTGGTGCGGCAAGAGCTTCACCATGACTAGGTCGCCTTCTTGAAACTCCAATGGGCGCCTGTTTTTGTCGGCCCACTTCTTCATCTTCTTAGCGGCCTTATTCAAGTAAGCCTTGGTGATGTCGAGCTGCTCGTGCCATCCCTTAGCTAATCTGTAGGCAGCGGGACTGCTACCCGTGTAGCCCGATACAACTGCTTGTGGAGTCAAGGGTTGTTGACCCATGACTATCTCAAAGGGGCTTTGCTGGGTTGCCTCGGACCGCTGCAGATTAAAGGAGAATTGGGCAATGTCTATGAGCTTTGCCCAATCTCGTTGATTGGCACTCACAAAATGCCTCAAATAGAGCTCCAACAAAGCGTTCACTCGCTCTGTCTGCCCATCCGTCTGCGGGTGGAAGCTTGTGGAGAAATGTAGACCGGACCCTAGCAACTTAAAAAGCTCCGTCCAAAATTTGGCGGTGAACCTTGGATCACGGTCGCTGACGATGCTCTTTGGCAAGCCCCAGTACTTGACCACATTCTTGAAGAATAACTTGGCGGCTTGCTCCCCTGTGCAATCCTTATGTGCCGGTATAAAAGTCCCATACTTGGAAAAGCGATCAACTACTACCATGATAGAGCCAAACCCCTCTGACTTGGGCAAGGCAGATATGAAATCCATTGAGACGCTTTCCCATGGCTTCTCTGGTATAGGCAAGGGCTCCAAGAGTCCTGCTGGCACACGTTGCTCTACCTTGTCTTGTTGGCACACAAGACAAGTCTTCACATAGGCCTCTATATCGTCCCGCATGTGAGGCCAGTAGTATACCTCCTCCAAGAGTGCCATTGTCCGCTGTATCCCAGGGTGACCAGCCCATAATGAATCATGACACTCCTTCATGATGTCACGCCTAAGGTTGTCCCACTTAGGCACATAGATGCGACGTCCGACGGTGTAGAGTATCCCATCCTCTATCCAGAAGCGTCGGGTCTTCCCCTCGTTAGCCAAGTCCATCAAATTCTTGGCCATAGAATCCTCCTTTAAACCGTCCTTGACTCGATCAAGGAGGGTGCTAGCTATGCTGCTCACGCTAGCAAAGATTGCTTTGCGGCTTAGAGCATCAGCAACTACATTCACCTTCCCTGGCTTGTACTCCATAGCGTAGTCAAAATCAGCTAGGAAGTCTTGCCATCGAGCTTGCTTGGGGCTTAGCTTCTTTTGATTTTGGAAGTAACTTGTTGCAACATTGTCGGTATAGATGGTGAACCGACTCCCAAGCAAATAATGTCTCCAGACACGCAAGCAATGAATGATAGCTGTCATCTCCTTATCATGCACTGGATATCTCCTCTCAGTGTCATTGAGCTTACGTGACTCATAGGTCACTGGATGCCCTTCTTGCATGAGAACTCCTCCGATAGCAAAATATGAGGCATCGGTGTGTAGCTCGAATGGCTTTGAGTAGTCGGGCAGTGTTAATACGGGCTCTTTGGTGACGGCATCTTTCAAGTCATCAAAGGCCTCTTGACATTTGTCGCTCCAACACCATTGTGCCTTCTTCTTTAACAAGTCAGTCAATGGCGCCGCCCGTGCTGAGTAGCTCATGATGAACCGCCTGTAATAGTTGGCGAGCCCAAGGAAAGAACGTAGTTCCGACACGTTCTTGGGCTCCTCCCATTCCCTGATGGCTTGCACCTTATCATGCTCCATCATTATCTTTCCGGCTCTAATATGGTGTCCCAGGAATGACACCTCCTCCTGTCCGAACGAGTACTTCTCTTGCTTCACATAAAGCTCGTTCTCTCGTAAGACCTGGAACACCTGTCTCAAGTGCTCCACATGATCTTGTAAGTTGTCGCTATACACGACGATATCGTCGAGATAGACGACTACAAATTTATCAAGGAAAGGCCGAAAAATCTTATTCATTAAGGTGCAAAAAGTAGCAGGGGCGTTGGTGAGTCCAAAAGGCATCACCAAGAACTCATAAGAACCATACCTGGTCACGCATGCCGTCTTCGCCTCGTCCCCTTCGGCGATGCGCACCTGCCAATACCCCGATCGCAGGTCCAACTTGGAGAAGTACCGTGCTTTGCCGAGTCGATCGAACAAATCGGCGACTAACGGGATTGGATACTTGTTCTTGACAGTGATCTTGTTGAGAGCCCGATAGTCAATGCACATTCGCAAGCTGCCATCATGCTTGCGTTGAAATAGGACTGGCGCTCCAAATGGTGCCTTTGAGGGCCTAATGAACCCTGCTTCCAGCAGCTCCTTCAATTGCCTCCTCAATTCCTCGAGCTCTGGTGGGGCCATACGGTATGGTGCCATGGCTGGAGGCTTGGTCCCTGGCTCCAGCTCAATCTCGTGATCCACCTCCCTTCTAGGAGGTAATCTCTTTGGTAGCTCCGGAGGCATCACATCCTTATACTCTTCAAGGACTCCGGAGATTTCTGATGGAACCTCATTCCCGTGGGGCTCCTCTTCCTCCACTAATGCGGCCAAGAAAGTCTCTTGTCCCTTTTTGATCCCCCTGGACACCTGGATTGCTGAGATTGTCTTGGCTTCAACTTCTTCTCGTGTGACAGGAACGGACCATGACCCTTGATCCCTTTTGATCATAATTGACCCGTCCGCTTCAAAAGAAAAGGGCCTTACAGTGTCGATGAACTCAAGTCCCAATACCAAAGAGAAGTCGTCCATATGTACGACTGTGAGATTTATGGTGCCACTCCATTGTCCCAGACAAATAGGCACCTTATGCGCCACACCAAGGATAGGAACGGGCGAGGTGTTGACCGTCTTGATCCTCCCCGGTTCCTTGGTGTACTTGATTCCCAACTTCATTGCTTCCTTCTCCGTAATGAAGTTGTGTGAGGCACCACAGTCCACGAGTGCCTTAGAAGCTCTCCCATTCACTAATGTATCAACAAACATAAGTGAGCCCTTCGGGCGAGGTAACGTGCTTACCTGGACCACTTTGGTGCTCTCCTCAGCTTTTGGTGTGGCCCGTACGCTACTAAAGAGGCGCAACGACCCCATTTGTGCATCGTCCCCCGACGATTCACCGCCCGAAGCTATGATGGCGCTAAGCTTCTGTCTCCCAGGGCAATCCCTTGCCCAGTGCGGCCCTCCGCACAAGTAACAGCCCCTGTTGTTGGGCTTGTCAGATGATGAAGAAGACGACGATGATCCCTTTGCCTTGTCCTTTTTCACCGTCTTGTTGCTACTGGTGCTGCTTCGATCGGTGGGCTTGGTTCCCCCACCTTTCCCTTTGCTGCCGTTGTTACGCCCTTCCTTCCTTGTGTCCCTGTAATCAACCAAGGACTCTGCAGCTGCGATGGCCTCAGCAAGTGTTTGAACGTTCCTCCTTTCTACCTCTTGTTGAGCCCATCGTTGCAACCCTCCAATGAAATATATAAGTTGTGCAGCCTCCGGCAAATTATCAACTTCGAGCACGAGGGTTGTAAATTGCTTGATGTACTCCTTGATGGTGCTGCTATGCTTGAGTTCACGCAGCTTCATCATGGAGACCTTGGCTGCGTCATGCGGGCGGAATTGCTTCTTGAAATCTTCCTTGAATTGGTCCCATGTTCGGATGGAACATGAACCACTCTTGATGTCTTGTTCACGCCTTCTCC